GGAATGTATGGTGTGTTGTTTTTAAATTGTTTATCTTTCTTTTTTTTACTTTTATCTTGTTTTTGTAAGCCGCCCAGAGTCCTACGGGATTGGGCGGCATATAAATTTATTAAATTACTAATTACTAATTCCAGAGCATTCTGATTTCATCAGCCTGGGGGCTGCCTGTTTACCACCGGCTTGAAGCACTTCCCTTGGGTCGATCAGGGACTTTGCGATCATGTCCCTGTGACCAGCAAGGTCTTGTCTTCCCAGTCACTGTCTCTTTGGGACGGTTTAGCTCCTGCCGGACCCTCCAGGTGCAAACGTGTCATTGGCGGATTTGGACTGTCGAGTCCGCACAATGTAACGTCGCAACGTTGGCTCCTCCTCTCCCAACATAATTAAAACAGCTGTGGTCATATGAAGGAGGAGGTGTGATAATAGTAATATAAACAAATATATCTGATGTAAAATATATAACTTGATATGAATCATAGCTGATGACGGTGGAAGGGATGCACGAAAGTTCTTTGTAGCCAATTGACACATCTTTTACCATTTGTAATGGAAGATGTTTTTATGGTGTTTGTTGTGTCTTGTTTGTTTGTGTTTATTCAAAAAAAATTATTTTAAAAAAAGCTAAACTGAAACCATGAAGAAATGTAGACAAAGACTTCCCAATCGTCGTGAAGGCATTTCCTGGTTATGGAAGGCCAAAGAAGGGGCTCCACTGAAGAGACACTTGCTTGACACTCCCTGCTTCTTAGCCCTGGGGGAGGGGGGAAAGCCAGGAGCCCAGCCCTTCTCACCCACGCAGAGCCACCCCACACCCAGTGCCTGCCTCCCCACTCAGCCTGGAGGAACATCTGGGGCCGGGGTGGGGGGAGGAAGGAGCTCGTTTTAGATGTGAGGAACGCAAATGCACACACAGGCACCACCGCAGGCTCACAAACCCCGGAGCGAGCCAGCTGGAGACTGGCAGACCCACCAGCCCCAGCCGTACCTTCTTCATGGCCATCTCCTTCTTCTTCTCCAAATTGTCTTTTTTCTTGGTCAGGAAGTTGATGCGTTCCTCGAACTTCTGGCACTCCACCTCCTGCTGCTTCAGCACCTCTTGTTCCCTTTCCACCTCCTTCTGGCTCTGGACCATTTGCTGAAGAAGGGAAAGAAGGGAGAGCGGCAGCCGGTCATCCTCGGAGCAGAACAAGGACCAGCAAAATCTGGGGCCACCGTACCCGGCGCCCCCCTTTTTTCATCTCAATACATTCTTTCTAGTTTCATAGAAGAAAGCTAATACCAATTTACAATGCAAATTGAGAAAAAGTTAGAAAATTTGACAGCAGCGTAACCTCATTCTTTTCTTTTTTAATTAATATTGAGAATTTTAGATAAGGTAAAAGATAAATTTAAAGAAAAGAAGAAAGAAAAAGGTACAAGAAAAAAGAGAACATTAAAATTATGAATACACTATTGTTGTTGAAATATATTTACCAGTATTCAGCTGGGGTGGGGGGACAATTTATGTGATTGTTTCTTGGTTTTTTTAAGCACTTGTTTACTTTTGCTTTATTTTGGTTTCCCTTTTTTCTGTTGAAGTTTATATTTTAACTTTGGAAATAAAATTAAAATTTTATGAAATAAAAAACAGGAAAACAAAGTTACAAAATACGAAGACTTGCAACTGGTCCTTCAACAGATACGGACCAACAGATCGTCTGCTCCCCCTCTTCATTTTGTGGAAAGGGTCCCGGCCGGAGTTATTGGGGCTGGGCCAAAGTCAGGCCAAACTCTGGGGTTGGAGCAAGGGTGACTCCCCCTGCACAGCCCAGGGCCCAGAGGCAGAGCAGGCTATCGCCATTATACAGGCCAGAGGGACCGCTCTCCCCTCGGAGGACCCGTGTACCTTGGTCACAGATTGTCTTGAGAAGCCAAGAGTAGCTCGCCTAGTGGGAGGCGTCTCCCAGCATCTCAGGAGGGGGGCGAGGGGGGGAGGAAGGCCACGTTCACCGAGTTTTATTTTATCCACAAAAAGTCACCGTTACTCAACAAAAAGCAGTCAATAATCCAACTTTTGTCCCTTTTTGCTGACTATACAGTTTAGTAATCCAGCTCTGTCACAACCCAACAAACAAACTTGCAATTGTGCCTCTGAGCCCTCGGCTGCAGTGCCTCTCGGCTGGCCGTTTCCTCCCTGGAAGCTCCTGGGTCTCAGCATGAAGCTGACCGGACAGCCCCCCCACAGCCCAGGAGGAGGAAGGGATCCTTTGAGCTGGCCACAAGAGGTCTGTAAGGCACACAACTCAAACGGGGCGATTCTGAGTGGTGTGCAACAGAAAAACAAGCAAAAACCAAATCTAATTAAATCAAAACGTATCTAATATATAAAATATAAAATGGCTTTAATGAAAATATCCAAAAGGGGATTCAACTCGACTGGGACAAAAACTCCCCAACATCCGCAAGATGGGGGACTTTCCTGGCCAAGGATTTGGAGGAGGAGAAGCAGGGGACACGCTGGACACTCCCAAGGCGGAAGATGAGCCCTCGACTGCTCCCTGCGCATAACTGAACCACCAGCCAAACTGCACCCAACCCTCTGCGGACATGCACGGGGGCTCCGAAGGATCCCGTGGGATTGTTTGCTTCCACGCGGTGGAGAGCTTGAGATGTGGCAAAGGAGGGGCTGCCCATCTGACAGCCTAGGCTCTCCAACCATGAGCCACCTCAGCTGCTGCGCTCACCCTGAGCCCGAGGCCGCTCTCTGTCTCTGAGACGGGGGGTCGGGGGGGGTCGCCGAGGGCAGAGAGCTGTACCTCTATGCTGCAACGACAATGCAATGCCCTTGCCTGCTCTCGACTCCTGGAGCACAGCACAGCCCCTCCTGCTGGCCTCTTGGGAGCGGAATCGGCCCGGTTTCCCAGAGGGAGGGGGCTCCCCAGGTAGGCCTCCGTTGCGTGGGTCCTGGGGCGTCACAATAGAAACCTTAGACCAAGGTGGCTCCTCTGGTTCTCTGCAGGGGTCTCCCATGTGCCTCTGTCTTCTGGGACTGGAGTCTGAGGAGGCCGTTGGAACAGAGAGAGACTGTAAAACCACTTGGCCTTATTACTTCCTGGACTCTCCCAGTTGCCTGTCAACCGGTAGGCAGCATTGGAGCAGCCTCCCGAATTCCCGGTGTGCTTTGTCTTCCCAGTTGATCTTGAGTTCATCGGCAGATCCTTCCTGAAACTGGCCAATCAGAGCAAGATCATCCCCCGGTCCACTTCTTTGGCCTACGATGATCAGCTACAAATTCATGACTCCGGAGATTTCAGTGCTTCCGTTTGCAAACCTTTTGATTTATTGTGCCTACGCTTTCTGCTCCTCTGCAGGGATTCTCTCCTTATCCAACAAGGGATCGCTGCCCAAAGGGGAGGCCCAGCCCATTCGGCGGCTGCTTCTGACAGAACTCCAAGAACAAACTCAATCTTGCTGGCTGACTCACCATAAACAATCCACCCTGGCTGGGTTGGGAGGGTAAGAGACTGACCCCTCCTCCTCCTCCTCCTCCTCCTCCTCCTCCTC